GGAGGAGAGCCTTCTCGGTGGCAGCTCCGACCCTGTGGAACGAACTCCACCGTGGAGATACGCACCCTCACCACCGTCCAGACCTTCCGCACAGCCCTTAAGACCTGGCTAGCCCGTCAGGCCTGGGGACAAAGATAATTGCCCCCACCCGAATGATGAATGAATGTTGCTTACTATTTTACTTCTATGTATTGTTTGTGTCTATTGTCTGTATACCCCCTCCCTTCATTTTATGTAAGCCGCCCTGAGTCCCCTCAGGGAAAAGGGTGGCTTATAAGTTTTAATAAGTACTCAAATAAATACCCTCCAAACAGTCTGAGGAACTGTGAATTGGCCCCCTATTTAAAAAGTTTGAGGACCCCTGCGCTACACAAACTGCTTCATCCTAAAGTAATCACAAAATATGTATTTTTAAATTAGTATTCAGTTTGAATGGTGGCACAGAAGGGTCATTCTTTAAGCAATATGGGAAGAGGTTTTGGGATTTGAACTCAGAAGGCGCTTGGTCACCAGATAATCTCTGATGTCTTAACTTGAATAGACAATTCACACAATCTAATTAGGACAGGTTAAGCATGCAGAATTGTGTTTTGTGAAACAATTGTATGTTCATTGTTTGGGGTTTTTGTTTCGATTCTGGCAGTGAGACCGAGATAACTTCATGGTGAAAATTTTCTGATTGTGAGAAAAAATTTACTTGGTGAAAAGCTTGTCACCCTTTGGCTCTTTCTCTTGAGCAGGGGTGTCAAACCTACCCATGGAGTGCTTGGATCTGGCCTGCGGGACCGCCCTGGAAACAGCAAAGGACCAGCCCATGGTGCCTCTGCCAGCAAAAACGGAGCTCAAGAGGGCTGACTGGCAGAGGGCTAGCAAAACAAAATAAAAAGAAAAGGAGAAATGTTTCCCCTTTTGCATTTGGGCATGCAAGAAGGGACAGGAAAGGAGAAAGGGAAACAGGAAAGATAAAGAAAAAGAAAGATGGGAAGAGAGCAAGGAAGGAGAAATAAGGAAAGAGGGGAAGGAAGAAGAAAGGAGAATGAAGAGGAAGAAAAAAGAAGAAAGGAAGGAAGAAGATAATTAGAGTTAAGGGAGGATCTGAGGGAAGTCTTGCCTTAGCATTGACCACCACAGATGCTCCCGACATGGGTAACATCAAACTGATCACCCCTACCCCGATCATGCACCCCCCCCAGGTCAAATATAACCCTGATGTGGCCCTCAATAAAATTGAGTCTGACACCCCTGCTCTTGAGCTTTCATTCCCATAGAAAGAGTTGTTCCCAAGAAGGGTTCAGAAAGAGTCAGTAAACAGTGAAAGGGTTTCCCAGGTTTCACTTCACAAACAGCCCCAGGTTTGAGTTCTGCAATAACGGTTTTTGGATTGTTCTCCCTCACTCATCAAGTGATGTTTGAAGCAGGCACCATCTTTTTAACTGGGCATTTGCAGGAGACAGAGAAATGTTGAGCAGCTGTTGGAGTTGCAGGTATCAACTCAGGGGTTGATTAATCAATTTGGAGATTTAGCTCTTACATTACCTCCCATCAGAAGAGTCCAATGGTGGGATTTAATTTTTTTTACTACGGGTTATTTGGGTGTGGCTTGGTGGGCCTGGCAGGGGAAGGTTACTGCAAAATCCTCATTTCCTCCTGATCATCTGGGACTCGGGAGGCAGAGAATAGATGGGGGCGGGGCCAGTCAGAGGTGGCATTTACCGGTTCTCTGAACTACTCAAAATTGCCACTACCGGTTCTCCAGAACTGGTCAGAACCTGCTGAATACCACCTCTGGAACAGTCTACTGAGGATTGTATCTTAGTCAAGCTCAGTTGGATTTTTCCCCCATTCCCTTTCATATTTCAGGATACAAAACCTTTTTAGTGGCCTACAACAGGCATCTCCAACCTTGGCAACTTTAAGCCTAGAGGACTTCAACTCCCAGAATTCCCCAGCCAGCTTTGTTGGGAATTGAAGTCCACCAGGCTTAAAGTTGCCAAGGTTGGAGACCCCCAGCCTACAGGATGAAACAATGCCAGTTTCGGTTTCTCAGGCTCCTGATGACCTACTTCTCTGTTTCTTTCTAAAATTACTTTGTCTAAGAGTTGAGGCCCGAAACTCATCACTTGAAATCATTAAATAAACAACTGTGAACCAGAACACTTAAGTTTGATTTGATGTTCAACTAAAGCCACCTTAAAACTTATTACATTTTTTTTGTCTTCCCAAAGAACTTGTATATGTCACATACTACTTGGATAACAGCCTAACAAATCCATATTTGCAATGGAAGAAAGTGGGAATGCCGGATTTTCCTTCTCAGATGCAATTGGAGCAAATAAGAGATGCTGAGGTAGAGTATTGTGCATTTGAGAAATAGCTCTTTGTGAAATCAGACCCCAGCCCTACTTATTTGAGAGCATATGTTTCTGAATTCAGTGAATTTCTTCCTAAGTATGTTTTGTCGCCCTATATCTCTGTCGCATGAAAATTTACTTCAAAATAATCACCCTGGCATTGTATACATGTTTATGGTACAAACCAGAAAACAAACAAACAAACTTTTTCCATTGATGTACAGACCATGCTAGAAACCATTTCTTAAAGCTAATTTTCCCTAATTTCATCCAGATGTGTTGGATTTCAACTCCCAATCATGGTTGGAGAAAGGTTATGTAATAGGGAAGTGAGGCAGGGAGGGGGGAAGGCAGAGAAGGAAGGAAGGTATTAAAATATCCAGGTATAATAAACATTAATAAAGTTTTTCTATAGCTTTGAGTGATATAAATGAACAGATGATAGGATTAACTGCTTAAGATTTTAGCACAATCTTGCACATCTCCCATCTAAAAGCTGAGGGGGAAGAGGAATTTTTACTTCTTTCCATTGATTGTAAGTTTAAACTCTGCATCAGGCTCTGACTACCACCTTGCATATTTCCTGTACTGTATACTCTTTTGAGCTGCCTTATACTGGTCCCTTACTTCAGCTTGTCCTCCTCATTTGCTGAATGTCGGTACTCTTCTGCTGAATTAGACCCAGCCCAGCATTCCCTTTTTAACTACAGCCTCTTGAAGATGTCTGAGAACTTATACGCAGAGCCTGGTAGAGTGGCTGGATTGCATATTTAGAGGCAGACTGCTCCAGTCAAAAGAAGTTCCATTTACTTTGTTAGGTTCATTTCAAGTTTTTGTAAGGTTAAACGTAAACAAAATTGTCTGTTCTCGCCATAGCATTCATAACAATGTATGCTTCTATCACAATTTTTCAATGAGTCCTAAGCAGTAAAGAATAAGCCCCATTGGATACAGACATACTTACTTCTGAATACATTTAGGGTTGCTCTCATTTGTTTATTTAAAAAACACAATACTTTAAATTCTACAATTTCTTTAGTAGAAAAATAAAACGTCTAAACCTCCAGATCTTTTCATTTAGCAGCCCTTTTGAACATTCTGCTTTTCATAGCTCCCTTGAGAAAAATTCTGAAAGAAAATTCATATTTGGCTGTCAACCTCTTGCCTCACTTCCAGTCTCTTGGCTCCATCGTCAGCTCAGCTCTGCTCCCATTTGAACTACTACGAGAAATACTCTCATTTGAAAAGTCCTCCTGTGGTACAACTTCAGAACCTGAGTTTATTTTAATATTTGTATGAACTTCTACCCTTATATTAGAACATACTATAACATAATAGAGTTGAAAGGGACCTGGGAGGTCTTCCAGTCCAACTCCCTGCTCGAGCAGAAGCCTATACCATTTCAGATAAACAATTGTCCAGTCTTTTTTTTTTTTTAAGCTTCCAGTGATGGAGCACCACAACTTTTTGAAGGCAAGTTGTTTCATTGGTTGATTGCTCCATTAGGACATTTCTCCTTAGTTCTAGGTTGCTTCTCTCTTTAGTTAGTTTCCATCTATTGCTTCTCATCTTGCCTTTTGATGTTTTAACTCCCGTGTCTATATCTGGCATTATGATAGTTTCTTTATTCTCCAGATGTAACAGATATGTTGTTATTCCTTCTCCCCAAGCAATTAATGGAACTCTAATTCTGAAGGGAGGCAGTGCCACAGTCCTTCAAATAAAAGAATTATCATTATTTTTTCCAAGTTACATTTTCCAGGATGCTTTGTGGGGAGAGTCAAAACAGCGTTAAGCTAATATATGTCTGTAACACCACTAGCACCATGGAATGATCTCTAAATGAGAGCAAACACACACCTTTTCCCCAATCTACTCACCTATCCTCTGTATCTCTTCTGTCTTGTCCTGTAGAAATAAATCAGGGTGTTGTCCCAATCTGATTCATTCCTTTTATGCTAACCAGATGTTTTCTCCTTGTGGGCCAGCTTTTTCCATGGATCTGACACTATGGAAAGGGTTATGTAAATGTTTATGGTAATAGATGTCTTGATAAACAAAGCCAGAAGGAATGCTTCCCCTCGGATTTTATTTTTGATCTTTTCCCCATGATCTTTTGTTAGGACTTGCTTGGCACTAGGGAATCTAGGCACCCCCCGAAGCTGCTCAGTGGTTCAATACAAATTGGGCTTTTTAAAAAAATACCAAGGAAGGTGTTGCAGATGATTGTAGCAAAACACAGAGAGAATTTCTGAGGCGAATTGGAAATCAGAAATGTTGGCCTCAGCTTCCCTCACCTATTGGGAACAATATTTGTTCTTGGGAGTCATGTGTCAACTAGGGGATGAATTTGAAACAAACAGATCTAAGCAAGAAATAGATGGGGTATCCCATCTCCATTTCTCTTCTTTTGACGTCTTATGTCTCCCATGTTAATTTCCACTAACTATACACATAAGTGGCAGGATGCCGGATCAATTGGCTTTGCCTCCTGTCTGCTTTTTTTTAAATATGCTTTTTCCTTTGTAGTGCCTGCCCATTGGGATGATCTTCCCCATATCCATATGTGGTTATATATAGTTGGCCCCATCCCCCCCATCCCAGCTGAATTGATTGGAGTACTTTAGGGGTGAAATCCTTCCAGTTCCGCCTGGTTCAGCCAAACTGGTAGGGACGATTATCCTTGGTTCTGCAAACCAGTAGTAAAAAAAAAAAAAGCTCACAGCTGAGCCACGCGATCGTCGGAAGCTTTTTAATGCATTTTTCCCTGCTGGTTTGCCCAAACCAGCAGGGGGGGAAATGTTTTAAAAAGCTGAAAGGGGGGTTGTTGGCCACGCCCACCCAGTCACATGACCCTCTACCACCACCAAGCCACGCCCACAGAAAACGGGGTGCGGGGGGGGGGAATTAGATTTCACCATTGGAGTACTTGCATGAAAGGATGTAATATAAATTTGGGGTTCCTGATATAATGAGATGTTACTGGTGGATCATATACCACCCAGAGCCACAATTATTCAAGTTGGGAAGCCATACACATTTCTTAAATAAATAAATAAAATTTGGAGGCCATTATTTTCTTGCTAGAATTACACCTCACTTTTCCTGCAGGTGGTGTGTATAAAATTCTCCCTGCGATTTTTCCTCACCATCACAATCCTGACAGGGAGATTGGGCTGAAAGAGAACGAAGGGACCCAAAGTCAGCCATTGAGCTTTCATGGGTGAAGAGAGATTTGAAGCTGGCTTGTCCTAGTCTGAATTCACAGGGGTGTAAATGTAATACCCTTCTGTAGTTCTTTAAGTCAGCTGCCCCTTATCCTGGGATTGCATCCCCTGAAGCAGCTTTTGGGCCTGGTGAGCACACATTCTGCAATGAGTTAAGAAAAGAAGTAAAGATTTCTCCTCCAGATGATCATGATAGATTTCCAGAGTTCAACTTAAGCTCGTTGAACTTCCCAACAGCCATATTTTTTTAAATGAAGGCTTAAACATAAAATATCTTATATAAAAATGCAGAAGCCACCCCAATTACAATGAAAGATGTGAGTACAAGAATCAAAGTGGCTTTTTTTGCGGTCAGGAGTCTCCAAAAATGGCAACTTTAAGACCTGAGGACTTCAACTCCCAGAATTCCCCAGCCGGCATAGCTGAGAATTGAAGTCCATGAGTCTTGAAGTTGCCAAGTTTGGATACCCCCTGCTTTAGATGATGGTCTTCTACTGGTAACTTTCAACTTATTATAGCGGTGCAACTCGTATGTGTCAATGAAGTTCTAGATAATGTTCTCCAGCATCTCTGCCTTTTAAAAAATTAAATCTGTTTCTTAGGACCCTGTGGTGAAAGGACCATTTCCACTACCTGCAAAAGACCATTTAGTACTGAAGCAAGAACTTCCAATTCCAGCTGTTTTCCTCCTTCATATTTGTGCAAAGCCCCTCTCTGCTCCCAACCAGGTGGGTGCTCTCTTATGCCACTTTTGCTTGCAAACACAGAAAGTTTAGTAAGGTGGAAACTAAATGACTTTGTTTGTTTTTTAGCCTGACTTCACTCTGGAGTTAGGAGAGGCTGGAGGATTCTTGGCATTCTTTCAATGACTCCCACAGTTCTTTTATTATCCTTGATCAGCACTATTTGAGCCAAAGAAGGTTTTTACACTGCTGTGCACCAGATGTTGCTTTTTTCTCTGGCAAAGTATACCCTTGTACTGAACTTGTAAAAACTATCAAGGTTAGAAAGGAAAGAGGCAGCTTTCCAGCCAAAGGGAAAGCATTGCCTATAAATATCTATGAAGAACTTTGGCCCATCTGGCTGTTGAACTGCAGATCTCTGGTTCTCTCCCCACTGGCAGTGCTTGCTGTTATACTCCAACAATGTATGAAGGATTAGAGGTTTTCAGTCCTTGCTCCAAGACATAACTATCATTGAGGTGGTAAATATATGTCTTAGGGATATCTGGCTACTCCTAAAACATGCACAGGATACACTTTTGTAGGCCTAGAGCAGCAGTCACCAACTGGTGGTCCGTGGACCACTGGTGGTCTGTGAGAAGATTTTGGTGGTCCACAGAAAAATTATTTACATTTTTTTATATTGCACTAAATCAGTCCTCAAACTACAGTTCCTGGGCTGGATACGTGCAATGAGCACTTGTTTTGCTGCAGAGAGTCTCCCCCTTTGGGGTCTTTTTGTGCAGGTCAGAGGGGGGCAGAAATTCCAACTTGACGTCTGCTTCCATTTCTCCTGTTTTCTGTTTTCATGAGCTCTAAGCAAAGGTAGCAACCTGTATAAGAAGCAAAGATAGGATGGTTTTTGTTTTGATATTTGTTGTTTGTTTGTTTACTTCTATCTTAGATGTGAAGAAGGTATAAGGTTGTGTTGGGTTTTTCTTACAGGATGAGCTTTTGTCTTGTGCCAAGCCCTTACAAAAATTCAAGAATTTGACAAAAAAATGTCCTAAGACGTTTTTCTTAATGCGCCAAAGAGCCCCTGATAGCAAAAGACAGTCATCCAGTACACCCAATCTCTTGTCCTACAAAGGATTAACACACTGCCCAGTCTTGAGATTGGGAACATGCAACCGTGATTCACAATCACAAGCCAGCACATATTTGTGGCTCACCTCGATTCTGCTTGTAGGGTGCATTGCAGATGGTGGAAGGGGCTACAAAGGCGTGTGAGTAGCAGTTGCAAGAGGATTCCTCACTATAGTGTTCTGTAAGCTGCTGTATTATTTGTCAATTCAAAATCCTGGACATAAAATGTTTCAACTTCTATCCTCAAAACTACACTATAGGGCACTGCACCAAGACAACTAGACACAAGGACAGTTGTTTCCTGAATACCATCACTCTGCTTAACAACTAATTCCCACAACACTGTCAATAATTTACTAAAAATGTATTCCTGTTATTCTTCTCTTCCTTCCTAGTGTCTATCTCTTTCCACTTATGACTATAACCATGTTGCTTGTATCTTTCGGTTTTCTTTTTTTTTATTTGTTTCCTAGTATGATTTGATAGCTCATTAGTAACCTATGACTATCACTAAGTGTTGTATCTTTAAATTCTTGATGAATGTATTTTATTCTCCTTTTGTACACGGAGAGCATATGCACCAAAGACAAAATTCCTTGTGTATCCAATCACACTTGGCCAATAAAAAATTATATTCAATTAAAAGCTGTTAGGAAGTGTTGTAAAGGAGAAAGCATCAAAAAAACAGCTTGCATTCTCCAAGGGTGTGAGATGATACTCCAAAGCTGTGCTCCTTTATTGCATATAAATTACCGTAAATGCATGGTGAGTGAACACAGTCAGTCTAATATTCCACTTAATCAACTCTAAATGCTACTTGGAAACTCTTCTAGTAAAATCCAAAGCCTGGTTAGTTTTCCTGGTTAGTCAGCCATCCTTCAAGGCTTTGTTATTTGTTTGAACTGATGTGCTTTCGTTTCTCCCAAACCTAAAATGAATCAATCCACACAGATTAAATAACCTGAACTGAACCTCAGCTCATATTTTCCACGCATGCAGTATTTGGTCTAAGCAATTCTGTCTTGGCAGGTGATTGGTGTTCGTTTCATTGGTCTCATGAAAGGACAAGTTCTGATAACATGGGATGACAGCGGTGTGAATTCAAAGTAGGTCATTTTCAAGAAATCCATCATTGTTTCCCTTTCATTCATTTTCCAGATAAAATACTATTCACTTAAAAGCTATTTTTTAATTTTGCACACTGTAATGTTTCTGCAAGCAACTAGCTGGAAAATTTCTTCCGAATCAGACTTCTAACCTCCAGGCTACAGAAACCCAAGGCTGATGAATACTTCTTAGCTCACCTTGACTTGCATCTATAGCATTAAAGAAGTTTGAATCATATAGTATAAGAAATGGCTTGTGCTATTTGGGACATTTTCAGGAAAGATTTGAAAAATTTCCCTCTATCATATTTTCCCCAATAATCCTTTTTATTAGAGGCAAAGCTCCCTTCCACAAGTGAAAAAATCAGAATTAGAATAGAGCTGGAAGGGACTTTAGAGGTCTTCTAGTCCAACGCTCTGTTCAAGCAAGAGATACTATACCAGTTATGGTGAACCTTTTCTGGCTCCCATGCCAAAAGCGGGGGGAGCACAGGGGGGTCGTGTGCAGGTGTGCCACACCCATAATGCTATGCACACGAAACACCACCCTCCCTCGCTTTTGGTGCGGTTTTTTCGCTTTCCCCAGGCTCCAGAGGCTTTCTAGTAGCCGGGGGGGGGGCGAAAACAGCCGTCCCCATCCTCCCTCCGGATGGCGAAAAATGGACCTACGGGGAACCTGGAAGTTCGGGAATGGTGACTTCCGGTTTGTCCATAGGGCCGGTTTTTCCCACTCCGGAAGCTTCCTTGAAGCCTCAGGAGGAGGAAAAACACCTCAAAAGAAGGCTGAAGTTAGCTGGCCAGCTCGCGCATTCATGCTGGCCAGCTGACAGGGCAACGCCTCGTGGTGCCCTGAAAAATGGCTTCGCGTGCCACCTGTCGCCATCCCAGTACTATACCATTTCAGACAAGTGACTGTCAAGTCTCTTCTTTAAAACCTCCAGTGATGAAGCACCCACAACTCCGGAGTCCTCCGGGATTGGGCGGCCTATAAATTTAATAAACAGTTAAACAGTTCTGATGGCAAGCTGTTCCACTGGTTAATAGTCCTCACTGTTAGGAAGTTTCTCCTTAATTCCAGATTGCTTCTCTCCTTGATTAGTTTCTGTCCATTATTTCTTGTCCTGTGTTCTGTTACTTTGGAAAATAAATAGGCCCCTGCTTCTTTGTGACAGCCTCTCAAATACTGGAATACTATTATCATGTCAACCCTAGTCCTTCTTTTCTCTAGACTGGCCAAACTCAAATTCTGCAATCATTCTTCATATGTTTTAGTTTCCAGGCCTTTAATCATCTTAGTTGCTCTTCTTTGCACTTTTTCCAAAGTCTCAAAATCTTTTTTGTAGTGTGTTGACCAAAATTGGATGCAGTATACCAGGTGTGGTCTTACTAAGCTTTTATAAAACGATACTAATACTTCACATGATTTTGATTCTGTGCCTCTGTTTATGCAACCAAAGATTGTATTAGCTTTTTTGGCTGCTGCCAAAAAACTAATACAATCCTTGGTTGTATAAGCAGAGGCATAGAACAATAATAATAAAAAAGGTAAGAACAGAAACTCTCATAAGAAGTCCTTATCTTACAACCATCCATTTAGTGATCATTCAAAGTTACAACGGCACTGAAAAATGTGACTGATGACCATTTTTCACACTTGTGACTGTTGCAGCATCCCAAGGTCATGTGATCAAAATGTTGGCACTTGGCCATTGCCATGTACTTATGATGACTGCATTGTCCCAGAGTCATGTGATTACTATTTGTAACCTTCCCAGTCATCTTCTGACAAGTAAAAGTCAATGACAGGAGCCAGATTTGCTTAATGACCGCATGAATCACTTAACAGTTGCAGTGATTCGCTTAAGAACTGTGGTGAAAAAGGTTGTGAAATGAGGATCAACCAACCTCGTGTAATAACAAAAAAATTGGGATCAGTTGTGGTTGTAAGCGAGGAGTACCTATGTTTCTCAACCTTGACAACTTTAAGGTGTATGGACTTCAGTTCCCAGACTTCCCCAGCTCGCCCAATGTACTAAAGAAATGTCTTTAGTTTAATCAGGATAGTTTAATCTTCTCCCATCTGTCAGCAAAATTTATCAGTAGCTTTAATAGAGCGGTAGCTCACTAGGTGAAGACACTGGGCTAATGATTGGTAGACTCATATTGAAGACCCGGATGCTGCTGCAGGATGGGATGAGCTCCGTCACACCTTCCTTCTCCTGCCAACCCACCAGTTCAAAAGCAGGCAACCGTGAGTAGATCAATGGGTACCACTTTGGTGGGCAAGTTAACAGGGATATGAAAGGAGTCCTCAAGTAGGTGTTCCCCTGGACAACAGTGAAGTCACCATTCAATCCTTTCAAACTAGAAACACTTTGGTGCGCCCGACACAACTGTAGTAGTAGCAGTAATCGCAGCTTTAATATCAAACATGTATTTATCTATCTCAAAGGCAGCTCTTTATCTAATATATGAGAATAGATCTTCTTTTTAAAAAAAAAATATATTTTGCAATTGGTACTGTATGATGCAGAGACATACTCGCCTTTTGGATTCTCTCCTTGTTGCTTTTTAAAAAAGGTGTTTGAGAAAATACTTTAAAATTCTCTATAGTCTTTTCCTAGAAACCCTTTTACTCTGAAAAAAAAAATAACCCTGTAATCTTGTGATCAATATGCATGTGTATTTTCACACAGGTGTTTGAAAAAATTTGAAGTGATGTTTTCAGTGGATGGGAAAAAATATCACCAAATCAGTGTCAAAGACAGTATATTTACAATGTTAATCTACAGCCCAGGTAAAAAACCCAAAACCACAAATGTAATTTCAGTTTAAAACCTCAAGCATGCCTTTAGAATTTAATTGGAAACTACAATTCTTTCTTAAATTATTTACAATATTATTTATTATTACCACTGTATTTTATATTAAAATTATAATCATTAATAGAAATTTGTTGGTTTGGGAAGGAAAGCTTTTGTTTTAAGCCTTTTTCTAAATCAGGAAAGTAGGTTTCTTTTTGAACAATGTCTTTAAGATCTTCCCTGAAATTCTGTTTCAGGATTTCTGATCTAAGGATTCCTTAGACCCTTATTTAGTGAAATATGTAATGGCAAACTTCCATCCATAATGTTTTGAAGCCTCCAGAGGCAGCTTATTTTTTGGGGGGGAGGGGCATTTTTAAAAGGGGAAATTTAAGTGTCTTATATCAAAACTTAAATTAATTTTTTGACTGAAGGAACGAGTAATAAACTTCTGCATGATATCTTCTGGGGGACAGTTTCTTGAATTTAAAGAGTGGCACCAGCACCCACAATTTTCAAATCTCAGATATCCTGTGTTGAAAGCAATAGCAATAACACTTACACTTATATACTGCTTCATGGTGCTTTTACAGCCCTCTCTAAGCAGTTTACAGAGCCTATTGCCCCCAATAATCTGGGTCCTCATTTTACAAGCTTTCTTCATTATATTGTAATGCAGAAAATCGTATTTAAAATATAAATGGATTGGCACATTGATTTCAGGAGCTGTCAACCCAAGATAAGAAGATTTGCAATTCTATTTATAACAGAATGTTCTTAAATGAGGATTAAAATTAAATGATCAGTCACAACTGTATTTATAGAAATATTTCAGACTGATCAGTGCATCTAGGAGGAACTCGTAGAGGAATTAAAATTTGACAATTTCTCTATTTGTTGGGTTTTCTTTACAGGAACAACACTCGTGGGCTTCTACAAAATTCGTGCTGTGGATTACTGGGACAGGCCAGGCCCATTTTCTGTACCTATGTTCTACAGAGAACCATCTTAAAAAGAAGCAAAAAATGTTCATCAGAAATTATGTAGGCTGGTATATCAGAAGTTACGTATATATGGATGGTTAAAACTGCAAATTGCAGGTAGCTTTTTATTACAGGAAAACCATAACCTTTAAAAGGATGGTTTTCTTGTTCTTAACAAAATTCTTCTTTTTTTGGCTCAGTTTTCTGTTGTTCTTTCACCAATAATGTGGAGAGGCTCTTCTCTCCCATATCATTTTAAGCACTCTCCTGGAATTACATCCCAGAAATTATGAGAACAAAGTAGAACACTGCTCATCTACATTTTCATCCCTATATTGCCATAATTGGCAACAAGAACACCCAGTTATTACCTGGAGTGAAATAATGATAATTTCAAGCTGCAGAATCTGGGTGGCATGAAAACAGGATGGATTTGTCAACCTTTCCTTAAAGCTACCACATAAGGGTGTGCCATTTAGATTCCCAACCACAATATTCAGTAGTGGGATTCAAATAATTTAACAACCGGTTCCCTGCCCTAATGATTTCTTCCAACAACCAGTTCACCAAACTGCTCAGAAAGTTAACTGGTCCACCCAAAGTGGTGTGAACTGGCTGGATCCCACCACTGACAATATCATGGTTCAGGGATCCCCATTCTCTGGTCTGTGCCAAGCCAAGATGTGCTGGAAACCGGGCAGTGCAAGCATCAGGCGAATGCACAAAGCTACATTCATGCAAGCAGTATATGTGAGAAACTATTTGTCTCCCCTCCCCTGCTACCGCCACCACTGCCAGTCCACAGAACTGGAAAAGTTGGGATCATGGTGGGTTCATAGAGAACATGAGCACTCATTCCCATAATCCAGTTCAGCTCAAAGAAGATACCCCCTTCTTCAGCTTCTACCCAAGCCTTGGAATAAGGCAGCTTCCTCCGCCTCAATCCACTTCATTCTTTTCTTCAAACTTGGCATCATTCAAACACATCACAACCTCACTTTTTTTTACAGCATCAGGAAGGAAGTAGAAGGAAGCCTCCTTCCAAAGAGCAGAAGCTATAAACAGTCCAGCTTGAATACTTGTGTAAGGGGAAGCTCCATGTGAAACTTGTTTTAAACAAGGATAATTTAAGCACAGGGATTGTATTTTCAATAAATATTTATTTACCTGAAAAAGCATTTACTTAGATATGGGTGAGGTAACATATTCCGATTTTCTGGTCAGAATATTTAAGAATGCCTTCCTAGAAAATGTATGCCTTTCCAATAAATAAGGTATGTTCAAAAAAAGTCAAGATAGTGATTACAATAATGCAATCAAAGCACCTCTTTTGCATGTACATTGCAGAGCTTTGATTGCACTGTAATCATCATTATCTTCATTTTTTTTTATCATGCCCTGCCATCTTGGGTTTTTGACCACACTTGAATTGAATGTCCTTGAATTGAACTCCGCACTGTCAGCTTTATAGCTTAGGGATCTTCAACTAGGGCTAAAACTATGAGTAGCACTGTATTGAGACATAAGCAAGGTGAGAAGTTTGAATCAGGCAATTTCAATTCAAATATCATCCCAGTTACTAACCTACTAGTTTTTCATAAGTGGCCCACTGCCAAATGGGATTGTAAAGATTGCCAATTCTTTTAAAAAATGAGAAAAATTATTATTTTTTGGCCATGGTGGGGAACAAAAGGAAGAGACCAGAATTAAAGGCATCAGAGTCCAGCAGAGGTTTAGATATAACTTATATTTGAATATGTTAAGAGGAAACGATGGTGCTAAATTTGTTTGCACATGCCCAAGCATACAAGGTTTGAAAGTTCAAAAATAATCTTTGCCTTCATAAGCAAAAAGGTCTTTTATTTTTATTGTAGGAATTCAAATGTTCAGCTTTGATACTAAATGTAGATTTTACTTAAAGATTTTCTGTAAAAAACAAACTTGCATATATGCCTATATGGGAGTAATTGGGGATTTACATGGCCTAGGCACGTTTTAGTTGTGGAAGTTATATCCTCTAATTCGACTTCAGGCATGCTTGTTAGACACAAAGCTTCAACCCATTCCTGCAATGTACACAAATCTTGTATTTTATATCAGCATCATTGCAAGCATGAAATGTTCAAGGAAGTATCTAACAGGAATGTGGAGGTTTCTGTACAACCACAAACAGCTACAAATTGTTTGTTCATAGGAGTGCGGTACTTTCCATTGCTTCTCAGGCAGCCTCAGAATTTGATGAATACAAAATAATAACAGTTTGTATATCTGAAACTCTCATCACTGGTTAAATAAGCCAACCCATCCGTTTCACATCCTCATGTATGAGTACAAGCCCGGTGGTTTTCATTGGAGAACAGATCATATGTTCAGATCAGGGGTGTCAAACTTGTGTCAGCACAGAGTTGTCATGTGACATGGTGCACCTTTTTTTGCTAAACTGCATGGGTGTGGCCAGTGCGTAGCGCATTTGGCACGCGGTCCATTAGTTTGACACCCCTGGTTTAGGGATGGTCATTAAATAATTAACAATTCCATAAGGGTGCTACAGGCCGAACATTATGAAAACCTACCCCAGTGACCTGAATATCTGAGTCTACCCCTTCTCTGATAGGGAAGATTTAGTGTTTTTCTCATCTTGCCTACCCTTGCTAAGCAAGCTAGCTTATGCCTATTAAAATTGTTTTAAAATGTCTCCAGAAGCTACAGTTGCAAATTTAAGCAGAAGGGAAAAAAAGACATTTTGGTTAACAAGAATGGTTAGATGATGAGACTGATGTAATGGGCGTGAATATGGGCAGACTTGGGGAATCACTGGAGGATGGGGGCGGGGGCTGGCATGCTATGGTCCATGGGGTCACGAAGAGCCAGATATGACTTAGCAACTGTACAACAACAAAAAATTGACAAGAAAGGTTCATAATGAGGTTTATTCATTCAAATGGATTCTTATCCTTATTCATACCAATGCTTATTCTGACATAGTTATAAATTACATTACAGCATTAGAAAGACCATTGTTGTGACCGTTTTGTCCATACTTCCAAGGCATTATATCAATAGGAATTGAAGAAAATGTTCCAAGGAATAAAGAGGAGGGGGAACTGCCTGATCTAAATAAGCTGTGCTTTGACATTACCCATAAACTATGCCCTGCACACGTAGAAGATAAAATGGTTAATCAGTCGTCAACAGAGGGTTTTGGAAATGGTAATAGGGAAATATACCTTTAAGGATTTTTAAGCATGAGCTAATGAATGAATGCAATGCCCCTTTTGTCCAACATCCCAAAACAAAAACCTCCATAGTTCAAGCTTATAAAATAAATGTCGCCTTCGTGGAGCATAATTTCCGAATCCTACTGAGAAATTTGGAATGAGCCACCATACCAGATAATTTGCTAAATAATTAGACAAGCGCAATAAGGAGAAAAGCTGAAGCCAGGATCAAAGAACCACCAATTGCTCAGGAAAACGTCATCTCTTGAATAAAATACTCCACCTGTTTTCTTTCCTTGGTAAGCAGATACAATGGATGGCCTACAGGATCTTTATTGAGGAGCTTCCTCAATTCTATACTTCTAGCAAATGCTGGCAACAGCATATTGGAGATTCTCCATTTTGGATGGAACTACACAAAGAATAGCGGAGGCCCCATAAAAAGGCCCCCTTTGCAATCTCTAGGTTAATGTGAACTACAAATTTCAAATAGTTTGTCCTTCCATACATTGTCCTTCCTTACATAACTCTGGTATAACCCAAAGGTGTTTTCAAAAGGCAACTGCTTTCTTGTTTTGCTCAACAACAAAAATATCCAGTTGCCTTTTGAAGGAAACCACATTTGGGGCAACCATGAATTTAGACAACTGAGAATTTTCATAAACATCTTGTGTATAACTGATGCTTCTCTATTTAAATTAATAAATCACGAGATGGAATTAATGCAGGAGAAGGAAAACTTGGCATAGGGTTTTGAGAAACTTTGCAGTAGGAAAATTACATTCATAAGGCCTGTATCTTTTGCTGAAGGATTCAGCGCCATACCAGATGAATATTGCCCAAGAAAGGTTAAAATTAAAAGATAATTGAAAAAGGTCTAGTTTTTAAACAGTTTATGCAGGAGTTTGAGAAGTAATGTGCTGTATCCTTGAGCCAGTTTTCTTTCAAAAATCTAATTACTAGAAAGCAGAACTTAAATGTGCTTTGAAAAAAATGATTCAAAGGATTTGTGAGGAACATGTTTGAGATGTCATTAGGCCTTTGACTCCATCTCTGGACTGGAGGAGTTTCGGTTTAACAAGCCCCTGTGGAGACAAAACAAAATAAACACCCTTTAGTTCCTGTAATGTAAAGAAAAAGTTGCTCAGATCATTTACTTATTTCTATACATGGCAATTCCACAAGGCATTTTTTTTTAGATTCCTTACTTATATCTATAGGAGAATCAATAAATACTACAGTTGGAGTTCAGGCCATAAAATTAACTGGCAATAGTACAACTTTAATTCTGAGGCAGATTTAGTTTGTTTAAGGGATTCATTGCTAGAAAAGATGACTGCAATCTCAAGCTTGAGACAGCTTTTTTTTAAAAATCATAATTGTGGTTGAACTAAATGTGGAAGACTTTCCATATGTAGTCTTCGCAGAAGCATTTTGATCATCTGTTGTTGGAGACCTTGGCTAAATCATCATGCTGTGGTGTGGTTTATTTAACCATAATTTATTAAACCACAGTTTCTTAGAGCCTATGGTTTATTAAGGTTCACACAACATGCTGAGCCAAACCAATTACAATACAATACAATTCAACTATATTATGAGGGGTCCTTGTTGCTCTCTGAGCTAGATTGTTGTTTTTCAGGTGTTTCATTACCCAACTAGGTAACATTATCAGTGTTAACATTATGGTTTGGTGCAATGTATGAACCAGATCATTATCCTGAATTGTACTGATCATGCACCAGGAATTCTCATGCTCTTAGAATCTGAGGCCAGGACTAGAATTGCCTAGACTGAAACAATCTTCCCACATTCTTCCTTTTCATAGACAATATCAAATTTGGTCTTCTGATAGATCAGTGCTTCCTGTTGCCCCAAAGAAGTCAAATTTATGACTGGAGCCATTGGGCCTTTCCACATACCTGACTGTAGCACAGGCTGGAACAGGCCAGTCAGGCAGATTTCCTCTTGCTTCTGCTGCACAATTTTCTGAATGGCAGGGGGAAGGCCCCGAGGGTTGCGGGAGAAAACAAGGGAATAGCCATCATCACAGGATCCATCCTCTTTCAGAGTGCGGCAGGCATAAGTGATGGCATAGTTATCGTAATCTGTGTCAATCACCCAGTAATTATCACCTGGAATACAAAATCGAGTGTACATAATGAGTTCTGATAACTATTGATCGTGTCAGAAATGAAAGGATCAGTATTAATTCATGGACCCCGTGTCCTTCCTGCATGTTTTTTGTTCACACACATACAAAAAAACATTCAGAACTTTGAAAAATCTTCCTGAGAGTGTAGGACAGGGGTGTCAAACTTGATTTCATTGAGGGTCGCATCAGGGTTGTGTCTGACCTCGGGGGACCAAGTGAGCATAGCCAGCTCAATGTCCTGCAGCCTGCGTATGGTCCTCCCAGGCTCCATTTTCAGCTATGAGGGTCTCCTGCAGCCCTCTGCCAGCAAAAACAGAGCCCAGGAGGGCTGCGGTCTCCCGAGCTCCATTTTCATTGGTAGAAGGCAGCAGGAGGCCGTCATAGCTAAAAACAGAGCTCGGGCAGGCCACACGCAGCCCTCATGAGCTTTATTTTTGCTGGCAGAGGCACTGTAGGCCAATCCTTTGCTGTTTCCAGGTCAGCCCCGCGGGCCAGTTCTAAGCACTCCCATGGGACAGATCCAGCCTATGGCCAGCTGAGTTCTGCCTTTTTAAAGCCATTTTTTGCCCTCCCCAGGCTTCAGAGGCTTTGTAGAAGCCTGGGGAGGGCGAAAACAGCCTCCCCCGCTCCCCACCTGGAGGCCCTCCGGAGGCTTCAAGAGCTTCCCTGAAGCATCCAGAATGCAAATAGCCGGCCCTATGGGCAAACCGGAACTTCGGGAACAGACTTCTGCTTTGCTTGGAGGGTCGTTTTGACTGCTCCAGAGGCTTCAGGGAAGCCTCTTGAAGGTCCCTGAAGCCTCCGGGGGGTGGGGGAGGCTGTTTTCGCCCTCCCCAGGCTCCTATAAAGCCTCTTCCCTGAAGGTTCTGGATGACTAAAAACAGCCCTACGAGCAAACCGGAAGTAGAGTCGTTTTTCATCCCTGAGGGCTTAAAGCGGCCCTACGAGCAAACCGGAAGTCCATTCCCAAACTTCCGGTTTGCCCATAGGGTCGGTTTCTTGTGCTCTGGAGACTTCAGGAGCTTCCCTGAAGCCTCCAGAAGGGCTTTGGAGGGTGGGGGCTATTTTCACCCTCTCCAGGCTCCTATAAAGCCTCTGGAGCCTGGGGAGGGGGGAAAAGCATGCAAAAATGGGGGGAGCGCCTGTCGTGTGCATGTGCAGGGGGGTTGCGCATTGCATTATGGGTGCAGCGCGCCTGTGCATGACTCCCCTGCGCTCCCCCTGCTTATGGCATGCGAGCCAAAAAATGTTTGCCATCGCTGTAATATATCAATGGCATACAATGCAATCAATGTATCATATATTTACTCCATTATCAGATATGATAATGTCTCTTTAAGAAATGATATAAATAAGGCAGGACAGATTGTAGAAAGAAGAAAAAGAAGTAGATTGTACCAAAAACTAGTGTAAAGAAAATTGGAAACAACTCCATGGTATCTTTTTTTCTTTTCTATTTTTCTTTTTCTTTCTTTCTTTCTTTCTTTCACTGTTAGTTTTCTTTCATTTCCTCTTTATCGTCTTTAAAAGGTAAACGTTCCCCCGCACATAATGTATGTGCTAGTCACTCCCAATTCTAGGGGGAGGTGCTCATCTCTGTTTCAAAGCCGAAGAGCCAGCGCTGTCTAAAGACGTCTCCATGGTCATGTAGTCGGCATGACTAAACACCGAATATGCACGGAATGCTGTTACCTTCCCACCAAAGGTTGTTCCTATTTTTTTTACTTGCATTTTTACATGCTTTCAAATTGCTAGGTTGGCAGAACTGAGACAAGTAACGGGAGCTCAATTCATAACACGGTGCTAAGGATTCAAACCACTGAACTGCCGACCTTGTGATTGATAAGCTTAGCGTCTTAGCCAGTGAGCCATCGCATCACCATATCTGTTGTGTTCCAAGCCTCTACAATATATACAGATGCAGAGTTGGCTGTCTGCCACAACTAAAGAGGGAAATAAGAAACCCCTAGGCTGGGAGCCCAGAAAGCTATCTCTATGAAACAAGGCTTAAACTCACGAAATTCTCCCAATCTTTCTCTATGGCTGGATCAGTAAATTGTTGTTTCCTGCAAAATTCCCATTGCCCCACCTATAAATTCTCTGGGAGGGGCCAATCAGTAGCCACCTGTTTCTATTTCCTTCTGTGACCCTTTTTCCAAAGCTGCTCCATCCTCCTCGCAGCCCTATGCATACGTACACCATGGACAGCCTCCCTCTGTTGTTCCTCACTGCTCCCTGACTCAGACACCACCTGGTGGCCATCAGGCCTCTGTAGTTCCTGCTCTGACTCTGAACTCCCCCCCCCCAGTCTTCCTTAGCCTCCAGGACAGTCCCATAGTGTTTATTGCTGTCAGATTCCACCAACAGCTCACAACAATATCTTCCTTACTTTATATTAATTTGTGTTAGTTTTTAACTTCACTTTTAAAAGTTTTAATAATATACATTTTTTTAAATATAGGCAGGAAAATGATGCTGCCCTCATGCTCTGCTTAAAAACTAGGGGTGGGGAAACTGACCTCCACTTGACAAATAGCTTGCCAGCCCTTGATAATTCATGAACATCTTGGCTGGTGTAGTGGGGTCAGGTACCGAATACTGAGCAGCCATATCAGCACAGACCATCCAGAATCTAAAACAGAAAGATATTGAAATTAATTTTAAACATTTTCTTATGTAACTGACATTTTGCTCTTTTGCCTGGAATATACTGTGCTTGCATCCTGTTCTGACTTCGGTACTATACTATTTATTGCATTAAATACCTACTGGCTGGGGAATTCTGGGAGTTGAAGTCCACACATCTTAAACTTGCTGAGATTTCGTAACACTGGTTTATTAAGATGATAGCTCAAAGCCATACCACGTCATGCCAAGTGCAATCTGCTTGTCTCACGTCTGCTCTGCATTAGTTTTTTTCCCCTTTTTGTTCATGCAACATGTACAACAAACCTAGGGGCAAAATGCTGAATTTTGTATTTTTTAAACTTGTTTGGGATTTTTGTGGCTTAGTTAGTAAGATGCATAAACCTAAGTCATTCTGTGGTTTTCTGGTTTGTATTGTGTAAATTCAGAAATCACTGAAATGAATCACCGCAGTGGTTAAATTAGTTACATGGTGGTTAAATGAATATGACTTCCCTGTTGACTTTTCTTGCCAGAAAGTTGCAAAAAGTGATCACATGACCCTAGGGCACTGGAACCATCATAAATATGAGACAGTTGCCAAGCATCTTAATTCTGATCATGTGACCAAGAGGATGCTGCAGCGGTGTGAAAAATGGTTCATAAGTCACTGAACTGCTGTAAGTCAAGTATTACCTGCATTAGTGACAACAGACAACTGAATTGACACACACTAATCACTGCTAGACGATTTAAACATATAATGTAATTTTCAGCAAAGACAACTTGGTGCCCTCTATATCCTTTGGATTATCCAATTCCCGACATTGTTGATGGTTAACTCCACAGTTTAAGACTTGGGTAACCAAATCGTCTGTCAGACTCATTTTACTTATTTGCAACCTTCACAATGCCTGAATTCTCATATCATGTGGTTAAGGCACCAAGTGGAAAACAGGAAACCCATTCCCCTCTGAGGCGTAAAAAAGCCTGCTGGGTGACTTTGAGCCAGTCACTCTCTCTCCACCCAATTCACCTTGCAGGGTTCTTATTGTGGGGAAAAATAGAAGGAATACTAGGCATATTTGTCACCTTGAGTTAGTTATAAAAAATAGTAAATGCAGGATAAGAATCCAATGAATAAACAAACAAACAAACAAACAAATAACAACATAGGTTACTTATCACACAGTGGTTAGAATGCGGTATTGCAGGCTACTTCTACTGATTGCTGGCTGCCAGCAGTTTGGCAGATTGAATCTCACCAGGCTCAAGGCTGATTCAGCCTTCCATCCTTCCGAGGTCGGTAAAATGAGGACCTAGATTGTTAGGGCAATAGACTGACTCTGTAAACCACTCAGAGAGGGCTGTAAAACACTGCAAATAGGTATATAAATCTAAGTGCTATTGCTATTGCTTGGCCCGATCTTGCTGGGTGAAACAGGTCATTGTGATTTGTGAGTCTATTTGTAAAAACTCAGATTTATTCAATGAACCATGGTGATATAAGTCAGGGCTTCCACTTTGTGACTTCCACATTAGAGTTGCTGGGCATTGTGATCACAAAAATGTAGTCCTGCATAAAATGAACAAATGCCTAATGACACAGAAATGCTAGTTACTCATATGCAGCTGCAGCTTACCCAAAAAGCTTCATCCTGCCTTTGGAAGATGCAGTCATAGTCCCATCCTCCTCAATGGTGTATTCAGCTGAGATATTATCCTGTAGAAACAATCCTTCTGGGTCTTTCTTGGCCAGAGCATACCATTTACCTGCATACTAAAATACAAAAAAGCAATAGTTAAGGTTACAAGGACAGTGAATACATCTTCACAATGAACACTGCACAAGAGATGACTACAAGTTAAAGTAACTGGATCTGATGGAGAGATAGAGAAACTCTTGCAAACTGATTCCCTACATGTCCTTAATTTAAATACAGGTCTTAAACGATTGTCTAATTTGGATACAGTGAAACTACCTCCTGAATCTGTCTAAATAGTTGGAAGCTTGGTCTAGTGATTAAGGTGTTAGGCTAGGAACCAGGAGACTGAATTCCACTCCCACCTCAGCATAGAAGCCAGTTGGGTGACTGTGGGCCAGTTCTTCTCTCAGCCGAAGTCACCTCCCAGGGTTGTAGTTGTTGGGGACAATAGGAGGAGGGAAGGATATTAGGTTTTTTCACTGCCTTGAGTTATTTGGCCCAAGAAACTATTGGTTACCCTCTAACACCATTGGATGACATTACATCTCACTGTTTTAGCAGAGTAAGGAAGATACTCAGAGATGATTCACACCCTGGTCAGTGTCTCTTCACATTTCTACCATCGGACAGAAGACATCAAAGCATAGCCAGCCAAACAAATAGGTTTAAAAATAGTTTCTATCTTTGGACTGTCAGACTCTTAAACACAACCACAATCATTTCACGCACACGTGGAAACGTATGAATAGTTTTTCTTTTTATTTCTTTTTTCTTTTCCTAATTACTTGCATAAGGATTATTCTTTATACTATTTATGTTGTTTGTATTTTTGTCATGGATTTCACCAGTGAGGCTACAACCAATTTCATTGTATACAGGACGTACAATGACAATAAAGGCTATACTATACGTATAAAAACATATATAAAGGCATGATATAAGTAATAGAGTAATAGAGATTAATGAATGCTGAAAGCTATTCAAACAGAAGAATGAAGTAATAATCTATTTCTTATTTTAAAAAGTGGTCATTAACAATGAAAATAACCACTTTTTATTGTTGAATAGCTTGTGAGAGCAATACTAGGTAACTATTTGCAAGATGACATTCAGTTGCACATTAAGAAAATCCTTGATGTAAAGGACCAATTAATAATGGAACCAAACTGTTGAAGAAATACAATTCTTGTTTTCCTCGTGGGAGGCCATCCAGCATAGGCTGAATTGGGAAATTTGTGCCCTTATAGTTTTATTGAATTATGTTTCCCATCATCCCTCACTATTGGCATATGGGTTGGGGCTGCTGAGAGTACAATTCAGCAAGAACTGGACAGGCACAGGTTAATCAATCTGTCATTTCTCTACGTGAGAAACTCTGTCCCAGTGTTTTGGATTCAACAGCCCAAAGCCCCCTATCCACCTCTCTGGTTCTGCCTGGAAGAGCCTCTGAGTTAACAGCAGGGGTGAAATACAGCAGGTTCTAACAGGTTCTGGAGAACCGGTAGTGGAATTTTTGAGTAGTTCAGAGAACCGGCAAATGCCACCTCTGGCTGGCCCCAGAGTGGGGGGGGGGAATGGAGATTTTACAGTATCCTTCCCCTGCCACACCACCAAGCCACACCATGCCACCAAGCCACGCCCACAGAATTTCACCACTGGTAACAGCCACTATACAATACAATGGCAGAGTTGGAAGGGACCTTGGAGGTCTTCTAGTCCAACCCCCTGCCTAGGCAGAAAATCCTATACTGTTTCAGACAAATGGCTATCCAACATCTTTTTAAAGACTTCCAGTGTTGGGGAATTCACAACTTCTGGAGGCAAGCTGTTCCACTGATCAATTTTTCTAACTGTCAGGAAATTTATCCTCAGTTCTAAATTGCTTCTCTCCTTGATTAGTTTCCACCCATTGCTTCTTGTTCTACCCTCAGGTGTCCTGGAGAATAGTTTGACTCTCTCTTCTTTGTAGGCTAGGAAATTAAATTGAGTCAGGCATACTTAAAACTTAAACAGGAACCAACAAGAAATATAAAGAGTGTGGAATAGATTGGGAAGCTCATCTGGGTCCAGGCTAACTGAGAAACTATCCCCCCCCCCCCGCTCCCTAGGACAAGCCTGCAGAAAAATCATGTTGTGGACCTCATCAGTCAAGGAATTTTGACTGATAGGATCCAAGACAAGAGCCTTTTGGGCCATGGTTCCTGCCCTTTGTAACATTGTATACCACACCACACGCCCCAAGGTGAGATCCATACCTACCATTCTGATTTTCTGTAAGGGCCTGAAGACCCACCAGTTGGCCTGGAGCCCCAACAGGGGCACATTACACTTGACAGGTTAAGAGAAAGATCCCTACCTCTCCCCATGTGCATCACACTCCCTTCCTCCCCAGCCTTTAATTGTAAATTATTATTGCTATTTATTGTGCAATGTTTGTAAGCCCGCCAGAGTTGCCTTTAGGCGAGATGGGCAGCACAAAAATCATGATGGAATGGAGTGGAGTGGAATGGAATGGAATGGAGGGAAGGGGATGAGTGAGTGAGTGAGTTAGTGAATGAAGAATGAATGAATGAATGAATGAATGAATGAATGAATGAATGAATGAATGAATGAATGAATGAAAAGTGTTTTTAAAAAACAACACAACCAAACAATCAGGAGAAAGCAATGTGATACTGCTCTCATATTATTGTCAAAAAACATTATGAATCTGACTGCTATGAAATCAGCAAGAGTAGAGCTGGATTTGAAGGAGGTTTTAGCTTGATTTACCTGCCTTGGTGATAACTCTCCTTCCTAAGTTAGCTACAGTGGGGGAATGAAACAGATACAGCAGGCCACCGCCCCCCATCCCATACACTGTACAGTATACATGTCTCCTAAGCCAAAACTATAAAACAAAGAGGAATAAGACTGATTTGCAAATAGGTTCCCAGGAACAATGTTCCCTCTAAGCTGCGCGCCTGCGCGGCCGTGCACATAACAAGAAAACACCGTGCAGAAGTTTCAAACTGCAGCACAATATTTCTTTAAATGTGACTGAAAATATTCCCCCTCCTCCCTTCTCTCTCTGCACCGAACTCTCTCCTCCATTTTGTGATTGGTGAAATCAAGCGTCGTCTGAAGCCCCGTTCTGGGCTTGGCAGTTTTTCTGTGATCCCTTCGCTTTGGGGACAGAGGGAACCAGTGTGGAATTGGACTGCCTGAGCCAAAGAGGAGACTTGATTTTTGAGCAGTACCAATCCTTTCCATTCTTTCCTTTCCCTTTCTGTCCTTCTTCTATCTTCCTTTCCTTTTCTTTTTCCTTTCCTTTCTCTTTTCCTTTCATTTCTCCTTTCTTTTTCTTTTTTCTTTCCTTCTTTTCCATTTCCTTTCCTTTCTCCTTTCCTTTCTCTTTTCCTTTCATTTCTCCTTTCTTTTTCTTTTTTCTTTCCTTCTTTTCCATTTCCTTTCCTTTCTCCTTTCCTTTCTCTTTTCCTTATTTCCTTTTCCTTTCTTTTTTCT